GTCTCCTCCGCCTCGCGGGCCGCGCGCTGGATTTCCCATCTCCACCTGGCTGGCGGCAGCTAGTCGGGCCCCGGCCCGGGCTGAGGCCTGGCCGCCACCTCGCCGCCCGGGGCCCTGAACTTGGGGAGGGTCCGGGGACGCGGGTGGGGGCGGGGAGGCGCCGCTTCCGCTCCGGGGGGCTGCGGGCGCGTGCAGCTCTTTGTTAGTTGAACTCCTCGGGCGGGGGGAGCCGGCGACCTCCGGCCCGCCCGCTTCCCCTGTGCCCCCCCCCCCCCGGGCCTCGGCATCCCGGCGCTGGGCTCCGTCCTCGCCCCGGGTCCCGAGGAGAGCCGTGACGAGCGCCCTGGGAACACCCCGCGCCTCCGTTCCGCAGAAGGGTGGTTGTTTTGTTTTTATGATTACTAATCTTGGGTAGTGCGCGCGCGCGCGTGCTGGCCCTGGGGTTGAACCCAGGGTCTGGACTGCGCGTGGGTCCCTTGGCTTTTTTGCGCCAGGCCAGCGTTCCCACTCGAGCCTCACCTCCATTTCCGGCTTCTTTTTTGACTGGGGCGAAGGGGAGGGGGTTAAATTGGAGATGCTTTTTGGGGAGGGCGCGGTAAATTGGAGGTGAGTGGGGTCTTATTTGTCTGTCCCCGTGGGCTGTGAACCTCGATCCTCAGCCCTCAGCCTTCTGAGTAGCTCGGGTTACAGGGGAGAGTCACCGACACCCGGCTCAATTTTTTCTTTTTAACCTTTTAAAACCATTTGCAGACAGAGTATGCATGCTGGGCTATTATTCAGTTTTGTGGTGATTGATGAGTACAGATTTTACCTCTCAGTTTGTGAAAATATTTTGGCAAGTGTTAGGACTTTGCACCGAAAGGGCATTTTAAAATGACTTCTGTTCTTTATTGGGAATTGACTCCGAATTTCCCTTCACGAAAGAAGGAACGGAATGCAGGGCGGCATTAAACACATTCCTAGAGTCTTGTCTTTCATCAGAAATGTTAGCTGGAGGCAGGAGGAATGCGAAAACCATTTTATTATCTGCGGCAAGCATTCAGCTTCAGTTGGATGGAGACTTTAAGAAAACAAAAGTGATGCAAATATTGTTTTCCTTTTCTGGTGCTCTTTACCTGCCTTAATGGCTTAGATGTTCTTCTGAACATTTAATACCTTTGAATTGTGATTAATTCAGCAAGCTTTATGAAGTTTATGAAGTTATGCACATATATTCTATCATTAGTTTAAAATGTTTCTTTTTTTCTTTTGGTCGTGGGGCCTGAACTCTGAGCCTGGGCACTGTACCGCTCTTCAGCTCAAGTCCAGCACTCCACCACTTGAGCCAGAGTGCCACTTCTGGCTTTTTTCTGCTTATGTGGTGCTGACGAATGGAACCCAGGGCCTCATGCTTGCAAGGCAAGCGCTCTTACCACTGAGCCACCTT